AAGTTAGATTTTTTTTTTTGGCATATGCGGTAGACAACTTTTGTTGATGTGCGAAATTTGCACAACCAATTATAGTAGAGTGTTTGATCTTACTTGCAGTAGCCAAGTAAGGGTGGGATTCCAACCACAATTCCTGCAAGAAAACAAGGAATGGTCACTAAAAAGAAATGGTGGAAGAGCCACCAACCACCCTTCGATGCCTAAGTCAGTGTTTCCCTTAGGAGAGGTAAGAAAAGTATTGTACTCGGAATGGAGGAAGTTCGGATTATCTTTTAGGTGGAAAAGTATGCCTATTTTATACTTGAGAGGATGGCTTCTCTTTTTGTGTTGTTTCGATGTGGGATTGAAGTTTCGTTAGTTATGTGGCACCTTTTGGATGGTTGGTGAGTTACAGACTAACATGTGTTTCTCCCTTTGATGGAATTAAGTGTGAGTGGAATATTCATGGGTTGATTGGTCCTTTTCAACCAACAACACATGGAAGAAGCGCACGTGGGGCCTTATGGTCCACGTAGGGCTGTCCCTGAGATTTTGAGGGCCCTGTTCGAAACTTAAATTAGGGTCTTACATAATTTAATACAAAAATACTATAAATACAAATTTGCCATAACTTAATGTCATAAACAATTTTTTTTATAAGGGATCTTACATAATTTAATACAAAAATACTATAAATACAAATTTGCCATAACTTAATGTCATAAACAATTTTTTTTTATAACTAAAAGTCACCATCAATAACATGTAATGACAATCAAAAATCAAATTCATAAAAATTTAAATGTTTCCATTTGATAAAGTTTAAATATTAGTATGTTTGGTACAAAAATAAGCTCCTTGTGCCCTTATAAGGTCCTTTTCTACCTCCTATAAGCAATCTGTGTTTAATAGGGGAAAAAAAGAAAAGGCAATCTGTGTACCATGTGATTCTTTAACAATGAATCTATCAAGATTCAAGAACTCCTCTTTGAGATTGAGTCAATTCCCCGATTTTTCTTTTTCTTTTTGTATATCCAAAAACGTATTTTCTAGTAGGTGGCATGTTTAGATTACAAAGAAAAATTCCAAAACCCTGTAACCTAGAAGAAAACCCCAGCAAGAAATAGATAAATATTTCTAAAAACCATATTCTCGTATACCCAATCATCATTATGATAATAATTTGATACAATAAGTCATGTAATATATAGATTGAAATTTACATATATAATTGAATTTGAAATGATCTTTGAATCTGACTATTTGATTTTGAGTGGCCTTTATGAATTTAGGAATTAGGATTTTCTCTTTTTGGGGTTGAAATTCTTGAAATTGAAAAAATAAGAAAAATTGTCAAAGGATTGAAAAAAGAACTAAAGAGAGATTGAGGAATGATGATGATTATTTATTAGAAAATCAGAGTTTAAGAGAAAGAAGAAGTCATGAATTATTATTATTATTTTTTGGTTTTGAATGAAGAAAGTATTTTTCTTGGAAAAGAATATACATATATATATATATATTAAAGGTGTGCTTTTGTTTTCCTTTTTTTTTTAAATTTTATAATTATGTAAAGTTTTTTATTAACTTGTTATAATATAAAGTAATATATAAAAAGGTGAATAGATTGGTATTAATGAGAATCAAACTCGTGCGCCCCTGTTAAGTGGAGATGCGTTGTAAAGCCAACTCCACCGCACACACTTTTGTGCAAATATTTAGCACGCTATAGTATATTTACACTTCCTATAATATTGATACACATATATAATATAAAGATTTTTTTTTTTTCGAGGGCCTTGTGAGGTGGCTCCACTTGCACCACCCCAGGGCCGTCATGGGTCCACGTGTTGTCCCCTTGGAACCAATCGTCACATGAGTGATGGTCAGGGCCATTGTCCTAAGGACCTCCTTAGGCCCCTATTTAAAGTGAAATTTAACTATAATTTCAAGAGTAATAGAGCATTTAAGCGTGCAAATTATGCCCCTATTTCAATTACACTAAAAACAATTATTTAAAAAAGATTACCCTTATATTTTACAAGTAGAGTATTATGATAAGTTGTGAAATTGTGGGAAAACTCACTAAAAAGTAAAAACACACGGAGATTGTGTTAGGGCCCGTTCGTTTATGTTTTCGAACCCCCTTTTCATTTTCTGGAAGAGAAAACGCCTCCAAAACGTGTTCGATAGTGCACTTAGCAAAATGTGGAAACAATTTACGAAAAATGTTTTAGATTTAAACATGAATACCACTCATATTGACCAACCGTTAAAAAAACGACAACTTGGCAATAAAAACCAATAACAGTGGAATTCCACGGCAGTAGAAAGAGAGTGAACGCTTTGTGGTCAACCAGGGCACAGCCTGTGTGGTGTAAAATTAGTATTGCATTTCATTGCAGCTTCTACCTTGTGCTGTCAAAGAAAACATTTTAGGACTTTTTTGGCATCTGTAGTGATATACGAGAAAAGCAAAACCATATATAAAAGAACCCTTTGAAAACCAGTAGCAAGGTCTCAAACAAATTATGTCTCCAATAAAACCATTTCTCACATTCCATTCCCATGGCAACACCCAAAAAGGTTGTTGCTTCGTCAGTGCCAACAAACATTTCATGGCGAAGGCCAAGAAGAAGAAATTATGGTGAAGGGAAACATTAACAAAATTGGTGCAAGGAAAAATACATGGATCCAGTTGGTTTGCCAGTAAAGGGGGGCATAGAAAAGAGAGACACAGGAAGAATACAAATATATGTACTGCATAAGAGAAAAAACCTCCTATGGTATCAGCGCCTTTTGCCTTCTCCAGCCTCTTTCGGCAGTTCTCCCAAATATGCGTGGCTGCTTCATAGGAAAGGTTTCTCTCCAATCTGGGTGTTCAATCAGGTATTCCCACTGCCTGAAGAGGCGAAGAGGAAGTTAACATTATCCTTTTATTATGCATAGATTTCTCCGCAGGATTATCATAATAGTTGGAGCATCTGGAAATTAATCTTATTGTATGGAATGAACACTATCCTTTTTTTTAAGAAATACAAAGGTATGATGTCCCAAACTAGAAAAAGTAAATACTTCAATGCATCTAATGTGATCAACTTGCTGTAGAGTTCTTAGTCATCCCCTTTATTCCTTTTCCTTTTATTATGTAGAAATATCCTCGTTTTTTTCTTTTCCTTTTGTGTGTGACCACTAAGAACTGTAAGACAGGTCTAATTTTGGTTGTGCATACCTTCTCATATTTTCCACAAAATCTGGGCCCTCAGCAGAAGGAGAAGTAGAACATATAAGGAGGATTTCTGAATCAGAATAATCTTGAAGTGACAAAGAAATATGTAGTTGACGTAGGGTCCTGCATTAATGGAAAATATTAGCGCAAAGCATCAATATAATGAGTAAATGAGCCTGGATATACTATAAACAATTACAAAATTAATGACTTAAAGAAAAATTGAAGTATATGTAAGGCTGAGGATTCTGGCATAGTTGAACACAGCTCTAAGAGTTTTCTGAGCAAATATATGTTGTGGAGAATTGAAGCTGAAGGCATAATCGATAATGTAAAACTCTTACCAGCAGCATGGAGCTATTTTGAATTGGTCAGTTTGAGTATCATATGTTTCCATTAACTTGCCTTTCCAACTGGAGTCCTCATATGATGAAGAAACTCGAATTCTCCTGACAATTTCATCAGGACATCTTGAGGTTCTGTCAAAGCTGGCTGGAGTAATAGATCTGGTCGAAGTTCCTACCTGAAAAAAGTGTAAAAATTTGATTAAAGTGAAGGATATTATCTTAAGTGAAGATAAGGCTTACAATAAATTGATATGCAACTCATGAAGTTGAAGCCAACCATGAACCCATTGAAAATAGGGTATGCATTTCCCTCGAGATCCCTTCTAGTGTTGTGCCCAAGAATGAAGAGAGTTCGAATGTGAAACTTTTCCTGTCTATTCCATAGAGTATCAACAATTTTGGCACATAAAGGAAAGGAATAACCAGCCAACTTTTCCTGACTTTCTGATCTTGTGTTGCAGTTACCATGCTGCACACAAAGTTCAATGCATGTCAGCTTCGATTATTCTGTTTCTGAGTAGATAACAAATCAATAACAAAGTAGAGGATCCGGGGCCAAACATTAGGTGAAACATCTTCAAAGCCACCAACCAGATGCACCTGCATTGTGTAGATATGCAAAATTCCTTTATTTGTGCTATATTATACTGGGTCAATCAGAAAATATAAACATTTACGTAACAAATTATTTCAGGTATAAAGAAAAATACATCTAACTCCATATCACTCTTGTGGTCAACAAGGAGTGACAACATTTGGGAGAGACCAATATCCACAATTTTTGGAGAATCCATATGAGCAACTGAGGTCCTGTAGTTTGAAAACTAAATGAGAAACAATAGTACTAGAGCACCAAAACTCTCCCAATTTTAGTCACCAAATGGCGTGGTAGATTGCATGATAATATCTTACTTGTACAATTAAACGAGATTTAGAATGGGTTCAATTATGAACATATGAAACACTACCACATCAATTTGAGTCCAAAATTTTGGGATTTGTTTTGGCGCCTGTAGCATTAATCAATGACAAAAGCAGAACCAAACATGAAAGAACTCTTTGAAAATCGGTAAGATCTTAAAACAAATTATCTCCAATAAAACCAATTCTTACATTCCATTTCCTGGATTCCGAATGGCAACACCGACACAGGTTGTTGCTTCATCAGTGCCAACAAACTTTTCATGGGGAAGACCGAGAAGAAGAAATTGAAGTTAGTGAAGGAATAATTAATAGTACTCTTGCTACCAAAAAAACCTTAATTGCCACAAAAGTACTCAGTTAATGACAAGCAATAACATGAGAAAATCAATTAAAAATTGCATTCTTCTCTTAAAGGCTGCAAACATGATAGTTCACTTTCGGAGGAAGGGCAAACATATTGATTCAGTTGGTTTGCAAATATATTGATAGCTCTCTCTCTCTCTCTCTCTCTCTCTCTCTCTCTCCTGTATAAATGAAAATTTCATGCCATATATTCTCAAATGTTTGCCTCAGAGAATAAAGAAACATACATCCACCAATGCAGGATCAACAGTTGCATATTCTCTCTGGAATAGATAAACCCATTTACTAGGTGGTGTTTTCTCTGGACCTGACTCTTCAGGTACTGAGAATCTCCTCTCTGGGATAGCCTTGAACAAATTTGAGGCAGATACCAATGCAGGGTGTTCCATTAAAGCAGCCAGGATATCCCGTCCCTGTTCATAAATACAAGTTTTAAGGTATATTACATATGTATTACGTAAACGTACAAAAAATTTCTTCTGGCCGATGCGAAGCACAGGAATTTGTGCAACCCATTAATCTGTCAGAGGAAATCCACGATTCTGTTTCCGAAAAATATAGTTATTTGAAGTTCTAGAAACAAAAATAACAAAATTAGAATGTATATCTACATATAACTACAGAGAGAGAGAGAGAGAGAGAGAGAGAGAGAGAGAGTACCTGAGGCGATGCAGAAGTGTCTGTGGAAAAGGGAAGGCCATCAACAATTATCATGTCTCAGGCACAAAATAAGCTTCTAATTTCATAGAGAGAGAGAGAGAGAGAGAGAGTTGCAGAGTTGAAGGAAGACTAGCTGGAGTCTTTCTTATTTAAAATCTAGGCTATTGTCTAATGAAATTGTCAAATAGAGAAAAAGAATCTATTGTCCAACGATACTTGGACTCAGGCTGGAAAGTCGTAGGCCCTAGTAGTTGTAGTCGTAGGCCAAATTGGGCTTTGCTTGTTTAGATCTTGGGCTTTGAGTTTTTCAGCCAACTCCCTTCGGTTCTGGGCTGTATTTCATCCTTGTAGATTGATTTTTTTGTTTTAATGACAAAAAAAAGAAAAAAAATTAGGTTTTCAAATATTCGCTATAGATAAAGAAGTCTATTAACATGTGCCTGATCCAAATTCAAGAGGCTAGTAAAGGCTTTTTATCACAAAATATTCATGAGATGGTGAAACTATCAGATTGTGTGTTTAAATTTTTTTTGTGTCAATCGTGATCCTCAACGTTAAAATATAAGTGCTCATGAATAGTCTATGTCGTGAGTTTTTGTCAAAAACTACGTAATTTGCTGATATAGTACATACATGGATGTTTTGTAAAATTTTCGAGTAACACAGAATTACCTTTGTGTTATAAAACTAAAGGGAAATTGTAGAGAGAAGAGAAAAGAAAGGTAATAGAATTTGTTCTCTTAACTTGTTAGCTTAATCTTTTATAAGTACCTATTTATAGGCTTACAACTATAGGGACCAAATTGATGTACAAGAAGTAACTTTAAGGACTATTAATGTTATAAATAAAAATATAAATGACAAAATATGATAATTTCACAAACCTCAAAGACTATTTGTGATAAAAAGCTTATTTATATTTAATCCCCAACGGTAAAATAGTCCATTGAGCAGCTTTTAATATTTGATTATATATGATATGAGTTTAACAAGGGCGGCAAGTGAGCCGTTGGATGAATCTGGCGGTACTAGTTTAATCAGGTGCTTAAGCTGGTAGGCGCGAGAAAAAAGGAATTTAACCTAAAATTTTAGTTTAATCACGTGTTAAATTGAAGCTGAGTTTAAAAACAGTTATAAAAAATTGGATATTTAAGCAACAAAAAAAGAAATATGATAAAGATAAATAAAGAGAGTTTGGGTGGGTGAGCAGTGGGAACTTTTCTTTAAGATTCAAAAATTAAAAACCAAAGCGCACCAAATTCCCAAAATTCCCCGCCACTGCCGCCATGGCCATAGATCCCAACCACACCACCACTACAGCCACTGCCGCCATGGCCACCACCACAGCCACCTCCACTGTCCCCACAACCACCACGAGACCTATAAGACCCATATCATCTTCTCCTGTTCCGCCTAATCTGTACCCAAGCCAAGCCCTCCCAATTCGAACCCAATCACCATCAGCATCACCAGTAGCAGCAGCAGCACATCACAATCAGGGGGTTCTTTACCCAGTGGCTTCTTCAGGCCGAGGCTTCATTCCCCGGCCCCGGTTGCCCATTGATAAGACCCACCTACAACTTGGCACCATCTCCTCTTCCTCCTTCGATTAAGGGCCTTCCCCTTTCTTCAACTCCCGAGGTTTCTACTTTTCTGTTTTTTGTTGTTGCTTGTTGTGGTAAATTGATAATGGACAGTTGCGATTTTCACAAAACATTTACTTAATCTTTCATTCTCTGGACTCTGGTGTGATTTGCTTTGTTCAATTGTACATACGTATTTAGAGGTAGCCTTACAAAAGTTTGGTAATATGCTTTGAGTCAAGGAAGCCCCTTTCTAAGTGTAACTTTTCAGTTCATATACGTTGGACTAGTTTCATTACTGCACACATCTTTTATTGTTGGTTGAATTTATCAGGGGAAATAGAAGGTCAAATTGAGGTTGGGTACAATTTTCTTCTTTTTCTACCCATATATTTATGTAAAAGTTTTCTGTCTATAATTAAACACATGCTTTACTTTGAGCACTTTGAAGGATGCATTGCACATGGTGGTGCTTCAGACTCTTAAATAGAAGAAAGAATTAATGGTAGCAATGTAGAGTTTAGTTGTCCTTTTGCAAATGTTAGTCTATGCCTAGTGAAACTCCTCATGGAGCATGCTTCTATGATTCTTGTCTTAAAAAGATGGTGTGTCTCTTGGACTGGTCAAGTTATTAGGCAATCATCTTACTATGTTTCTTTCTCATTTGATAGCACTACGTTGAATGTTGTTGATGACTAAGAAGTTAATGTGTTTATATAACCCCTAGTATTTTGTGGGCAGGGTGACTTTTGAGTAACCTGGGTGACCAAAACGGGTAAACTAGATAATGGATTTAACATGAATATTATGCCAATCGGAACATAGGAACTTTTTCGCCATTGAATATTCTAAGCCAATCTGAATAAAGGATGTTTGCCTTTAGTTTTTTTCTTTGTCATTTTGTTTGCCTCAACATTATCATCTGAATGCAAGATTTGAAGGATTTATTCAGCATTTCTTCTTTCTGGTTTAGGTTGCTCCATCTTCAGTGCCTGACAGCAATGGTTTTAAAGACATCAGGTAATGTTGGATCTAGTGTAAATAGTTTTCTTTTATTTGTTTTGTTTATTTATATTAGCAATAAGAATTCTTTTTCTTCGAATTTTTCACTGACGTAAATAGTTTTCTTGTTCTGTTTTCTGTAGGGATAAAAGCAGAGATGATAACTTAGCTGTCATTAGAGGTCGAAAAGTAAGAAACACTTTGCTTGCTGATTGTCTGTCCATTTATAAATGCATTTTAATATCTTTAAATTAGTAAATGCTATTAAGACTTTCTATTGACTCAAAATTTATTTGCAAAGGATATTCTCTTGTTGATGTCAAAGATCTCCCTAGTTAGGAGTCATGTATACATTATATCTTTTTTCTAGTTTAAGTAATCATGTTGCATGGTTTTACTAACATATTTTTTCAGTACCTAATTTAATTTTCATTTTAGGTGTGGATTTTGGTAGGATTTGATAATCCTTGCATTTCCCTGATCATTTGATAGGTTCATTCTATTAGGAGGAGCTGATAGCTAAAAGGGAAACATAATTAATGGGAAAAATGACTATCTCATGCTATAGAGAAAATATACTTTTTGGCACTGTTTTAGTTGTTTGTTGAAGGCTTTGTTCTTAAAGTTTATGATGGCTTTTTATGGAAATAAGCGCAGATGGCAGAAACAATCTGTACTGGGATTTAATTTCTTATTCAACTCTCTATTTAAAAGTTTTACATTTTTGTTTTTTTTCTTTCTTATTCTCAACTTTTTGATAATGGGCATTGTGGTTGTGAATCAGCAACTGTGTTTGGTGAGTGTAGGGTGTATACAGATCAAGCACATAAAATAAATTATCTGTAGTAAGATGACTTAAGGAGTGGTACAGATCAATTCGTCCCCTTGCTAGGAGGGAATGGAATGAGTTGATGATAAACAGTAAAGTATTTAGGTGGGATTTGAGCTACGGTCTGGCTGGAATAGAATCAGCATTATCTGGTTGTTAACATAGGGGAAGAAAACTGTCATTTTGTCTTTCCTTTAAATGTCCTTGAATGATAAGTAAGAGAATAAAATTCTGATTTTTTTTTTCTTTCTTTTCCATTTGTTAAATTCCTTTCTTCCCTTTCTTCATGTCAAGGAAGTTATTTAATCCCCCTTGCCAATGATAACATTCCTGGAGTTGTTCTTCATACTCACATACACGGATGTGTCTCTTGAAGGACCTCTTCTCTCTTTGTACAAAAATTAATTAGAAACTGCTGGCCTATCTTCCGTTATTGCCTCCCATGGACACCCTACACAATGTGATCCAACCCAATCCCCATCAATTGTATATTTATTCTGCCAAATACATTAAATATAGTAATTATGGTGCATAGTGATCTAGATGTATTTATCACAGGAAGTTCTAATACTACTGTCAGCATAAATAATAGAGAAATAAAATGCAAGCTGGATCATATCTTTTCTAAAATGAATCAATCGATCCTTGATGGAAACCTTTTTGATGTTTTGTAGATAACAATCAGAATGCAAATTAGGACTAGCCCTTAGTTCTTACACTTTTCTTGGTGTTAATTATTTTGAATTATGTATGCAGGTCAGAATGACAGATGGAGCTTCTCTATATGTTCATTGTCGGTCATGGTTGAGGAATGGAGTTCCTGAAGAATGTCAGGTTGGCATGAGATTTTTTTTTTTTTCTGTAATAATTTGTACTTTGCTTTTACCCTAAGAGTCCAGTATTTGATGATCGTCTGCAAGCCTAATTTGTGTTCAAATATAGCCTGAGTTGCTGTTAGAAGAGCTCAAATCTACAAACGCAACGTGATGTAGAATTTGTTAATTTGTTAATATTTCAAGAATGCAGACATAAGTTCCCTGAAATAATAGTTTTTTTTTAATGCAATCTTTTGAATTCATCCAGTCTAACTCTTTGCTAACGCCTCCAGGATGAATTATTTGGTCATATGAAACAGTGAATATGTATAATATCACATCTTATTACTACTTAGAAGCTAATCTACTTATTCAAAGAAAATAAATGACTTAACAGATTCATTAGGACAAAATGCCTTACTGTAATACTAGTAGCTTCACATCATTACCATCAAAATGCTTCTTCTCAAAGAAATCGTCATTATCATCAAAATGCTATGGTCCTACTACAACTGGAAAAGAAGATGGCATTGTCAGCTATCTGTGGAAGGATTGAAGTATTTTTATGGCCTAAATGGTAAAACAATTGACAATAATGATGAATAAAAATATTTTATATACTATCTTACCTCAACAAGCCTACTTTGCAATTGAGTCCTAATAATTGGCCCTTACTTACAAGAGAAGTCTTTGTCTTTCTTATATATTAATACAGTTTAATCTGGCAAACAAGTTAATTTTAGGTTGAAACTCATATAACTCAAAGTCTTTTATTTCAACTGTTTAGAATGACTGCAAGACATATTCTTTGCCCAGCCCTATATGTTCCCCTTATTACACTATGTCTCAGTCCACACAGATGACCCCTTATTGCTGTAGTTATTAGTCTTTGTTACATGCCAAGGGGTATACTTGATCAAAATAATAATAATAATATTGGTAAACTCATTTCTGGGTTTATTATACTAATTGAATTGGAAACTGCGAACCCAAATGATTGGAACTTTTATTTCCCTTGAGAGTATTAGTATACAGATCCAATTTATTTCATTTTATTATTGACTTAAATGTTTAAAATATTAATTTCATTGTTGTGACTTTTCTGTTACCTGCTGCATTATTATGCCTTATTTATTTTAGTTTATGACAATATTGGTTTCTGCTTAATCTCTTTGGGCTTTGGCTTTGCATTTAGAATTTAGAATGTGGGAACTGGCCTAATTTTTCGTCTTTTATCTTCTCTTTTTTTTTTCTTTTTTTCTTTTTTTTTGGGGTAAATTTCCATGTTTCTTTTTATTTATAATGCTTTGCCCTTAATGGTCTGTGAAAATTTTGATTCTGTTGGCAGCCACAATATGGCGATACTGTAAGGTCTCTTCCAAAACCATCACCTATACCTATGGCAAGTGCTACTTTGCCAAAGAAGGAGGAAGGTGAACAAGAAAAAGAAGGAAAAAAAGATGATAATGAGGATGAGGTTGGTTTTTTTTATAATAATGATTAATATTTAGCAGTAATAGTCATTGTTTCGAACTGATATAAAGGAACAAAAAAAATTAAGATTCATGACTTAAAAAGTTCGTTTGGTTCCAGCTACAAAGTGATGTGTCTTGTATTTGCCTCCTTTAGGAGTATCTCATCTAGGTCATATCGGTGTCATGTAATCAAGATACTTCCACAGACAGGAAGCATAAAATAGAAAAATAAATTAGTTTCAAAATGATAATATGAGTGCCTTTTGCAGTGTCAACATCCACATATAAGCTGGTACACTACTGTTCCTAAAAGTAGACAAGAATTAAGCACACTATCTATAATATAAGGGCACAAATATCTCTGGATGAATTTTGTGTGCCAAAAAACTATACAAGAATTTTGTTGCTCCTTTAGGCATCTGTCTTCATGAGCCATTAAAATGATGCTGAAGGATGGTTTACCAAACTTTGTCATGTGTTCAACCTTGAGTCGATTTTCTGAATCTTGTTTTGTGGATTTGAGAAAATTCCATAAAAATTATGAACAGAGTGATTTATATATATGCTACAAATTTAGGACAAAAAATGAATTAAGATTCTGAAATGATATGCGAAGTTGCTCATTTTTTTGAGTAATCACTTAAATTATCAGTCCAACTGCTATTTTGTTTTTGGTAGTCAGAACTAATAACCATTCTTCAATGATTAATCTTAATAAATTCATCAAGCATCCTTTTTCTGTATAGGTTCTGAAGGTCTAGTTTTAACTAGTACTTTTGAGTGTGTTAAATTCTGGGTATTTTGTAGTCTAAAGATAATCTGTTGTGATCTTGTAATGCAAGTCCTTCTTCACTCTGTGGGAAACCAATTGTATGCTACAGAGTTTTCAAGTTTCAAAAGATAACATACAACATATGTTGGTATCTAGATAAAACATGCATGCATTGGTTGTATGTGTTTTTGAGTTTCAGAGAAATTAGAGAAAGAAAATAGGTACATAGATAAAAGCACACTTTGTATGAATGCATGGATATTTTGTCAAATTGGAGGATTATAGGTTTTTCTGTTACCTCCAACCCCCAGGTGGGCTATGGGTCTGCTTTATTGGTGTTCAGAGAAACTTGATTCTACTTGTATTGCTTTTACCTTTATTTGGTTGACCTTTTGACCCAGGATAGTTTTACTCAAGGATGAAAATGTTGGCTGTGCATATAGTATCAGCCCTCCAATTAAAAGATATATCAATTTCGTTTTTGGTATCGGGGCATATCGATGTTGTTGGTGTCAATTGGTGTAGAATGATTATTAGATTAATTGGATATTTAGTTTGTTTGATGGCTGAGTTAGTATATGGGTATTCAATTAAGGTTTAGTTTGGTTCATATTTGACTTAATTAGAGGGGTTTTTTATTTTTTATAATTTGCATCTTCTTCCTTCTATTACCTTCAAAAGTTGTGAAATTTTTCTGGGTTTTAGGCTGATATTGGGAAATATCGGAATTATAGTCAAATATCAGTGTAATCCGGGAAATTCTCAGAAAACATCGCCAATATGGGGGGAAGAAATAGGCTTACTCCCCAGTATCAGCGTAGACACTGAAAATCCGACATATCAGCCAATATTTTCATCCTTGGTTTTACTGTGGAATAGGTTTAATCCAGCAAGTTTTAAATTTCAAGGGCATTGAAATTAAAAGTTGAAGCTTATATATTTTTGCATCTGTTCTTTCCTATACCAAATGATGAGATCTTTATCTTTTATGAAGAAAAAAAAAGTTATTAGATCTTTTGCAAGTTGAGTTTCCTTGTTCTTGCTTTCAGGATGAGGAGTACATTCAACGTTCATCACCACATGATCTGTTAAAAAGACATGTCAAACGCGCCAGAAAAGTTCGAGCACGGTGAGTTTCTCACACCTTCAGGTTCTTACACATACCGAGGCGGCTTTTCCTTTGATACAGATAATCGTTTTAAGGCTTGATGAGGCTGATTTATATACATAAAATTTACACCTTAGTTGAATTTGGTGGCTTTAGTGATGCTTGTGACAAGAAATCTTAAAGGAATTATCCATTATATTGTGAGATTAAATTCTAATGCTTGCACTTGGACCATATAAATAATGTGGGAGGGTCAATTTGCAGTTGATTTATGTCATCCAGTTTTTTCTGTTAAAGGAAGATGTTGATTGCAAAAAACATGTTCGAGAAGTGAATTCTGTTGCCTCCAGACTGATTTAATGGGTTCATCTAGGTTGGCCTTAAGGGTGGAGGAAATGGAGTGTTTAATTTGAAATGTAGGTTGCCAAAATAAACAAAAAAAGACGTGTTAGGTTTTAGCATGTGTCTGCAAGTTCTCATTAAATGTCACACATGCACCGTTTTTGTTATGCAAAATTTCAAAATGTATAGTAACTTAATTGTTCATCTGCCTTAATCAACAATTCAAGAAAGATGGTATCATTCACCGTTAAAGATGGTATCATTCCCTCTTTGGATAAAGAAAAGTCTATATTTGAGATGTGCTGCTTTCCAAAAAGGTTGGGATTACTCTTTCTGCAGATAAAGCTTGCATAGGTTGACTTGGTGTTTTGCTTATAGGTTAAGAGAAGAACGCTTGGGGCGAATTGCAAGGTACAAGTCTAGGCTTGCTCTTCTCCTTCCTCCTTTGGTAGAACAGTTCAGAAATGATCTAGCTGCTGGAAACTGACCCAAGATTACTCTATCAGACGTCATTAACATTTAGCACCTTCAAGTATTTTCACGCCAAATTAGTAGGTTCATTTTTAGTTATTTCCAACTTTGATGGCAGAATTGGTAAATTCATATCCAATCAAGTTCACTGTATAAATTGTCTTGATCTGTTTTATGGATAGTTGTACATTTGTCGCGCTTTGCTGTAATGGTCACGTCATTGTGTCACCATGAAACAGATTACAAAATGTTAGTATAGACCTGCCCAGCCCAGGGTAGATGTGAGAAGTGGCAACTGAGTGAGGTACATTTTTTCCCCCTGCCTTTTGGTTGTAAGTTGAGTGTTGTGAATTCTTACGGCACCAAATAGTTCAGTTGAGACAGATTATTGTGAAAATTCTTTCAGATTCAGTTTTCATAGAATTTCTTTATCAGAGGATGTAATGAACTGATGAGCTTTAGACTTGTAAGGCATATTGTCATATTTTTCGAATACTTTGTTTCATTGTAAACGATTGTGATATTAATTTTGGCTGGAGATTTGTGTTTGGTAAGATACAGAGTCACCAACTGATATGAGCTAGAGCATCTACTTCAATGATTAGTCCTATCTTTCACTCTTCGGTTTATGCTTTCTTGTGTCTCTGAATTCTCATCAGATCAGAGGAAATTTTTAAAATTTAAACTAGCCAAATTTTGTCAAATTAAACTGAATATATTATAGAGCAAAACCAGGGATGGTAACACCAAATTCGGCACCGACCCGTTAACTATTTTATTTAAACTTTTTTCCTTAATAAAATAAAATAATTAAAATTTGTAAGTTAGTACATGTAAAGTGCAATAATGCATATAATAAGGCAAACTTGAAAGTGAATTGGTTGAAAAGTTGACAGTCTCATTCACAATCATTCACAACCACATTCATAATCCTAACCCAATCTTACTATATTCTTTTGAAATGTCTAAAAAGTGTTAGTGTATTTCGCGAATTTTCCTATCATAGAACAAGATTAGTTCCTTTTCTTTTCTCGTACGTAATTCTTTTTGGAACCAATCCTATGGATGTCATATATCAGTGGGAATTGCACTTTGTATACAGGTGTTTGTTTAGGTCAAGTGGTTAATTTCTTTCTGCCTTATAATTTCCATTATTTTCCGATAAGGATTTGGAGATGGGTCCATGGTCGGTCTCATATTTTAATCATGATTGTCCTCTCGCAATCCTACACCACGTGGATGGCCTCCCACAACATGCACGTCTCGCAGAGGTCAATATTGAATTATGAAAAATGCGAGGAAGATAAACTTTAGATATCATATTTCTAGTAGAATGTGGGACTAATTATATTGGTTGGCTCCATCTCTATTAGAGATATAGTACACAAGTTGGTATTTAAAGTTAGTCTCCCTAGCATGACTTTTGAATTATATATCAAATTAATTACACTAAAAATAAATCTTTCGGATTATGCATGATAAGTCCAATATTTTATCCAAAGCTTGTGGTGAGGTTTTCTCCCAGTCATTAACGTTCCGCAACCATCCCATCCTTAAATTGTGCTAGTTCTAGCAATATGTAAAGAGATTGTGTTAGATGTGAGCGTGTGGAGAGAGCAATCAATGTAATCTGGGTTGAGCCCTCTAGGAATTGGCTCTAGAAATCTCTAAAATTTGTAGGAATCTTCGTGAAATCTATTTAAGGAAGATCAATTGTCAAGAACTCGTGGGTAGAACTTGCACTTAAAAATTGACTTGCAAGAAAAGAGTGTCCAAAACTCTTAAACGACTCTAGAACATGCTATTGTTCCAATTCATGTGGAATCTTGAGTCCTGACAGATTGACGAATATTTTATTCAGGCTTCGCTTGTATCTTTGTGGTGAGCAAGTGTCATTCATTCATTACGACTCCCAAGCTTTTGAGCAAATGAAACATGGGAAACAACAAAATTTGCTACCTCACAACAAACTTCAGTTTTTAAACTTTCTTCATCTCTTTTTCTATATAAAAGATATTGGGGGATTTGAACATAAAATCTAAGGTGCATAGGTAATTACTCTTAATCACTTGAGTTACAAACCCTTTATTTTTCATATGACTTAATGATAAGGGAATTTCTGAAACACTCGTACCCTCTAACATTTTCTAACTGGACATATCTATAAGTAGAGGGCCCCCACTAGATGTTGGCATCACACACATGTAAATAATTAGCTGTGTAATCAACATGATATTGAGTAAGGCTTTTGCTTTGGATATCATTCAATGGCTTGAGCTAATGTGTTTTTAATTAAATATGCTCCTCAGGTTTTACGTGTGGTATTAGAGCAAGTCATAATACAACTAAAGACCTAGTTGGTAAATACTAAAATCAACTACTAGAAACCCTAGCATGTTTTCAGGTTTTTCTTTTCAATTTCTTGCTGGTGGTTTCGGTATCATGATGAATTAGGGCTGTTCACATAAGCTATAATTTCTCCGAATTGGTATGAGGATAAATTATCCTATGTCGTGACCTATTTCTCTTCAGCATATGTAAATTGCTTGAGTATGTTCACTCACTCCTAATTCCTAAACTTCATGGACATTCATAGCATAGATAGCTCCCTCACGGTATCTCACTCACATGACATGTTGAGCATTGGTGTGTATTGGGGCCCACTTTAAGGGACAAACATTCATCAATATGGCGTTCCTGTCCCTACTTACCAAAAACCCTATTGTCTTCTCTCTTGACTTGTCCCCACAATTTTCTTTAGGGTGGAAACACTCACCAACTACTACTTTCCATGAAAGAAGTATGATATCCAATCCCACGCCCACGCCCACGCCTCCTCATCAAATCAAACGGCCCTTGGAAATTTTCAATGCATCGAATGAAATCGTCAAAATTCCCAAAAGACGCCCCTCATGTCCCTACAGCCTGCCCCTTGCTTTCATTCAAAGCATGCTTCAAGCCTTCAACCTCGGCCAATCAATAAACTCAACAACCCTTTGATTCATTCATTCAACCAAAAATCTTACCAATTAACAAAAAAGAAGAAGATTGAAAAAGAGGACGATGGTTATAAGACCATTAGCTTGTAGAAGTCCTCTGAATCACGGTTTGACACGTGTGTAAAAATAATTCATCAAAAATAAAAAAACAAAAACTGTAGAAGTTCCTACTTATAGAGAAATGAGAGAAGTATTTTTCTTCTTGATCCTATAAATAATTTGTTCTTTTTTCCTCTCTGGTTCTATCAGACGGATGGGGCTTTGAGCAAGGGGAAAAGACAAAAAAGAAAATCCAATTCCATAAATCCCACAATATGAATAAAAAGCTATTGATCATTTCCCTAATACTTTTGTCTACATATGTACACGCACACCCACCAAATTAATCAAATTTAATGTAACCCAGTTTGGAAGGAAGCTGTAAATATTAAATAAATATGTCACAAAATGTGATCATGAAGCTGCAGAAGAGTGGTGGGATTGGGGTTGACAAAATGGATAGAATCTTGGGAAGCCATCTGCTTCTGCTTGGGCTTTTGTAGTAGTTTTGTTGTTGTTGGTGGTGGTGTTGGTGGTGGCTATGCGCTCACAGGAAGGGCACATGGTGAGGGTTGTGGCTGGTGATTGCATGTAGAATGGGTTAGAATGATGATGAGTCTTCAAAGCCCTCAACTCCTGTAGCTCTTTGTGTAGCCTTCTGTTCTCTTCCGTTAGTGTCTCACAGCATCTCTTCAGAAACTCACAGTCAACCTCCGTTTGCTTCAGCTTCGTCCTGCACTTACATCATCATTCATCATCACTATCATCATCATTTAGAGATTATTAATATATTTTTATTTTTTTGTAAAAAAAAGAGAAAGATAAAGCCTTAC